CCTAAGTATATGTGTTATATGTGTATACAACATACTTTTTTTGCCAATTTTCTTGCTTTCCTTTGCTTTGCTGCGCTCGCCTTCTCAATCTTATGGCGCAGGCGCACTGGCGTGCGCTTGGATTGTTTGCCTATATTAACAATAGAGTCAGCTTTAGATGCGACTCCTGAGCACAACAAAGCGAGTGACCTGACATACCGAGCTTCACCATCTTGAAAAGCCTCTGCCTCCAAGACTAGGCTCGGACGCAAGAAAATATTGTTAATGAAGGAAGAAGAGGAAGAACGTAAATACTGCCTTCTCTCCTCCAGTTCTTTAGCTCTTCAACCTCTTCATCTCCTATTAGACTCCGACTTATCAAACATAATTTTTGTGCGAGTGGAGCAAAACCCGCGCCAAGACATTCCAATGCCAGGACTGCATCTTGGGTAATTGTTTATCCGAAATCCTAAAATCGAATTCTGACTAAGCAGAAGCAACATCAAAATGCGGGGTTGAATTCAGCAAACAACTGTAACATTCAGAGAAAAAAAAGGATAAGGGCGGGAAAAAATAGATCTGAGGATATTGTACGATAGCCAATTTAAGTTTTTCGTCTTCATAGAACCCTCTTCTTTTTTCTTTTAATAGTATATTTGCGGAAGGCTGTTTAGTTTTCAATATGGGTTCCTCCACCCTAGAGTCATTCTCGGCGCCAACGCAAGCCTTTTCGTTTGATGGTCTCCTTTTTGATTTTGATGGGACCATTGTAGACTCGACGGAAGGTTAGCTTCTCCTTATTCCTTTAATTTGAGGCAGAGTGAAACTTGTTTTTGTCCAGTTTACTGAAGCTTGGTGGCTTGGCTTATCTAGCAATCGTCAAGCATTGGCACAGGTTCGTTCTCCGTACATTCTGTTGATATCACTGTCGTATCACCGCTTCAACCCATATATATATATATATTTACGTATATTCTGGATATACTGTAGATACATGTGGATGGCGGGAAAAGTGTTCTCCTATGGCCTCAGGATCAAGGGGGGGTTTGAAGGAGTTCTTCCGTGCTAAGTATGAACAAATATAGATTAGGTTCCGAATTGAACTTAGACCCCGAAACGATTCTAAAGACATCCCACGGGCGAAGAAGTATAGATGTCCTGAAAATCATTGCTCCACATAAAGCCAACTGGGAATGTAAGTAGGAAATAAGAGATAGGAGACTCAGCAGACCACCACCACACACCTAACCCTATATCTTTCCTGACAAAATGTATTATCCAGACGTTAGTTACATTGAAGGCCAGATTCCTAAAGACTTCGGCAAAAATGCTGTGGAAACACCAGGCGCACGAAAGCTTCTGAAAGATTTAGACGATGCCAACGCCCCCTGGGCTGTGGTTACTTCAGGAACCAGGGCGCTCATCACTGGGTGGCTGGACGTCATGAAACTCTCACTACCCAAGTACATGGTTGTCGCTGAGGACGTGGAAGTAGGCAAACCAGACCCGCGATGTTACCTGATGGGCCGCTCGCGCCTTGGTCTAGGAGACGGAGCCGAAATGCTGGTGATTGAAGATGCAGCTTCGGGTATCAGGGCTGGTAAAGCGGCAGGATTCAAGGTTCTGGCACTGACGACGACCCATAAAGTTGATGAGCTGAAAGAGGCTGGGGCAGATTGGATCGTTCAGGATCTGCGAAGTGTTACACTAAAGGGCTTCAATGGAAAGGTGGTGATTGAGATCTCAAATGCTTTGCAGTAATCTCCTTTCCCTCTCGACTGGCATGAGGAAATGTAGCCTTCGTGTCTATTTTCCTTTTCCAGAAAGAGGATGGATGCTGCATAGAAGGAGGATGGACTGATGTCTCGTGGTGTGGATGGTCAGATTTGAAATATGTAATTGTGTCTCCACATGGTATTGTTTCCATCTTGGACGCACAAGGGGCTATATCTCCTTTTTACTTTTAATTTTCAGTTAACTCCACCAATCTATGGCATTGGTCATCATGCAGTTCTCGGGCTCCCGCAGCAATTGGGGACTAGACGGTATACCACATTCTTCCAATGCTGCTGTTCCTCACTGTTGTTTCTTCTTTCCCCCTATTCCATCTTACCCACGCAGTCATTTCCAGACTCCATAGGAGCACAAATAATTTTGGTCGATCACACGAGACGGAAGACCTTAAGAGATAGACAGACCGGTTGCAAATACCAAATGCCGTTGCTGCTGTTACATCTGACTTCTATCCTTTCATCCCTTGAATCTATGCAAGCTTCAATCACGTTCTCATTCTCGGGTGTCCTGCCGTGCTATGTATCCATCTCCGTTGAATTCGCACCGGGTTATTGCCGGCCGACATTTGTATCTGGAACTAAACGATACAGTGTTCCTTCGGGTCGAAAATTAGAAAACTAACTGCGACACAATTTCCGGTTCTTGATTCTAAAAGTTGCAGCATTTTTGGAAGCAGCTGGCGATTAAATATCAAATGAAAGACATTGGTTATACTACCTCGACAATGCGTAATTCACGAATGATTTCCCACAAAGGATAACGTCTCTCGACACTGCTCTACAATGCCAGATCATACATCATCGACATAGAAATTGGAACGAGGGGTGACCCAAAGACATCTCTAGGTCAGCAGGCCAAAATCCCTTATAGAAAGCCTCCATATTTGCGGCGTTACAGGTGGAGAAACCTCACTGGCCTGCACAATTCGGGGTCATCATCAACTGCAGTGATCCTTTCCCCAGTGTTCGGAGGTGTAAGAGCGGACCTCAGGGGAAACGAAATATATTCAATTTTTTGCAAAGAATCTAACTCAACGTTCAGCAGACCATCATTCCCTAGACGCCACTCCTCAACTCCGGCGGACAATTAATTACCTAGGTTCCCAGATGTACGAAGCACTGAGCCCTATGAATGCATGCTTTCAAGCTCAACCATTCATATTTTTTCTTAAAAAACAAAAGGAGGAAATGGACTGGAAAATGGGGAAGGGACCAAATTCAATCCAACATAATTCTGCATTTGAAGGAACCTAAAGCTGAACCCATACACCTCAGTTCCTCTGTTGACAGCAAGTCCAGTCCCCTTCTTCCACAACAATTTGTAAAACGTTATTGCCTATGCGAAAACTATGGGGCAATAATATCAGTCATTTACAAACTCCTATTGCAACAAAATCATCAATCCCCTGTTTGGTTCTAAGAGGAATTTGCAAATGAAAGCGTGAAAAGGCTGCGCTACTATTGCGGTCTTCTGATTCCAGGTGCTGGCTTTGCTCAGGTGTCCGACATATTAACGGAAAAACCAGGGAAGGCTCTTCGATTGACTAGCGACGATGATGCACAAAGGGAGCCCCCACGCAGTCAAGTCTCAGAAGTGTAATGCAGAGGGTCGCCATGTAATGCGACAAGGGCCTTACCCTTCATCAACCAGGAAGCCATGCCATGAAACGAAGGAATTGACCGGTGATCGAGATTAGGTCAGGAAAATTTATCCATGTAAGTCGATATTAATATCTGCTACATTCCTGCAATATCGAGATGTACCTAAACAACTCCAACGGGTCCGGGATGCAAAATTACCCTTGCCCATGCTAACAGTGCAGGGATAGAGCCATGGACGCAATTGGACCTGTGCTCTCGGGAAGTAATCTGTTCTAAATTTGAGTTTTTGTCCACGAGGGTCAGAGGGTGAGTCGTGGGACCAGGGAGGGATGACGGCTTGCATGGGTTAGCGAGGTTGGAAATTTCAATCTCTCATATATATATATATGCGTGTTTATTATTACCCATTTGCACCTCCCGTAGCAACGTTTGAGGCGAACAGTTCAGGCAAGCCGCCGGGCGTGGGATGAAATCGATTATGTCAAACCTGCTGGTCCAGCCATCTTATTATTATTATTGTAAATAAGCTGGATAGAGTTCCCTGGATGACGCCGTTATTGACGTGTTCTGCGAGGTGCGGATGACAACGAAAAAGAGCTCCTAACAAGGCTTGTTACGATAATAACGATGATATTATTATCTTCGAAGTTATTTCCCTACGGTAAGGGGCCTCATATGCTGTCAAACGTGGAGCGCAGTGCAGAGGAGGAACCCATGTGCCCAGCGATGGGGCAGTCTGCACCTTACCATATTGTTCACTAGGAAGAGAAACCCGATAGACTGAAGCCGCAGGAGCAGTTTCAAAGATGAACCATTTCTGGGCAGTTGAACTTTCAGCAATAATAAGAAAGTATGTACAATATTCATACTGCCATCTCTGGTATCAAAGTCCGGGCTAAAGTTCGCCCACTGTCCCGGTGTGATGGTCACCAATGAGTCGGAAGAAGATGTAATCCAGAGGGGGTTAGGGCCCCCCCCCGGGAACGTCGACGCTTAGTTTAAAGAGTCGGACAAGGACGATCCACGATTTGCAAGGAGCGGCAATGTGCGGGTTGAGCAGGTTGCGATCGACATTGTCAACTACTCTTGAAACGCTGAAAATTTCAAGAGATGCTGACAGGGGAGGCTTGACAGGTTGGGGATAAATGAATTTTCTCCCCTTGGCTGAGAGACAGGAGACTTTCTGAAGATTGAAACGAGGTTTGTGTAGGTAAGACTTTTCGCATGCTGCAGACGGTTTTGATAGAATTTGTTTCTGATGGTATGGATCAAAAAAAAAAAAAAAAAAAGGCAAAACTCAACTGATGTCTTACATGAGGAACAAGTGCATCCATGCCCATGTATGGATTAACATTTGACGTTGGCAGCAACACATCGTCATTGACTGACCTACTACGGAGAAGTATAAATCGGCGATGGGCTTCCCTTGTCAGGTTGCCAAAGAGACCATTTCTTACGGGCGGAATGAAGCTCGCCTTGGACTGCTCTTTACTCGTAGTCGTCCGGAACACGCGTGAACCTCATCAGGTATTTCTGTTTCAATGTTCGGCATTCTCCCCAATCATACAAAACGCGCACGTCATAAGTTAGCTGAAATTTCAGAATTATATAGTTTTAAACTGTATAATGTTTTTAACTTTGAAAAGGGTTGTCGTCAGCATATCTGCCGCGTGGCTAAACGCGTCCAGATCCAATATCCTTACAGGCCATACAGAACCCAAGAAGTCGAACGGCATGGATATGATGGCAGACACAGCCTGCCTGCGTGGCACAATGGATAGCATAGACCTCATGCCATTTTTTGGGTTTGGCCACGTCCTCCCGCACTTATGCGGTATGATTTGATAAAAAAAAAAATCATGCAAACCAAAATAGCTGATGTGGGCAGAAGGTGACAGGTTTTATTCTTTTCTTTCCGCGTTATTTCATCTTGTTGTTTTGTTACTTTAATTTTTCATATAAATCCCCATTGTAAACCCCAAGGGCAGCTTTATACCTGTTAATAATTCTCCATATATGTAAACTAGTTGTTTGGAAAAGCAGGAAGAAGCGAAAAGAAAAACCCAAAAGAGATTTCGTATGAATAATCCCATGCTAGCTATTATTGCAGCCGTTGAGCCTCGAGTTCAATAATTGGTTTAAAACCGAGTTGTCGTTTTCTCAACATCAGCAGTTTGAATGGCATGAAGGCGCTCGAGTTATATCATTGGATTTGTATTTTCCTGCATCTGTGCATCTTCCGCGTCAGGCAAGTGGACTAAGTCAAGATAGGCTTTTCGCCGTTCAGAAGAATAATTTAGTAAGAAAGAAAACCACTAGGCGCGAGGTTTATCTCAAGTTTTGGTAGCTTTGGCTCCTTTTGAAGAGGCGTGGAGGATCTGCTGCTAAGGTGCCCTTGTCAGAGTCAAGAGGACAAAAGCTAATCCATGTCTTGGAAGCTAAGTGGTGGATTTCGAATGATCCCGCCGGCGTCACGCACCATGAGGCTAAAGCCAAAGAAAAGAAAAAAATGAAGCAAAAAACGAGAAAACTTCCAAGGGTTTGTGGTTTTGACCGTTACAAGCTGTGGATAGAGTGCGTATTGGTATTTCTGGTACAGTAATTAAAACCCTAACCAATGATACCCCGGAAGGTCATCTTCCGGACTTCCAAAGCGGAGGGATGAGATTGGAAGAATTCGTCGGCTATCTTGAGCTGTTACTGGCTCCGGATATCGGTTGTAGAAAGGGATCATCGGTCAAGGTATATGGATGTGCTGTACAGTCCATCATCATTATTCGTCCAGAAAGGAAGAGCGTTTCGAGCAACAACTGTGTTTGGGAGCAAGACATTGAACAGTTTGAAGAAGAGTAAGGACTGTTATTAAGTCTATCAAGTTTATGGAGCTCCCGTAACAAAAAATAATAGTGGCGTCTTTCATGCCCCGACTGACCCTTGCAGCATTATGCTGAATCCTGATGTTGTCCGCCAATTCCAAGCTACCACTAGAGTAATACACAGGAGACACACAACGAGATTGTTTGCCAAAAAGATTCCTGATGGACATGCCAGTGCGATCGCGTGTGAATGTGCACAACCATCCTGCATACGTTCCACGTAAAACTCCTGTTCAATTCTTCAGATTCCGGGGCAGGCAAGACGGAGGACTCGTGAGAAAATATTTCTCGCACACCATTGTCACGAATTGTTATGATTATTTTTTGAGAGAATATTCACTTGCTGGATGCTTGAAATTGCCCAATGCCCTGAAAATGCTTTTAACTCAAAATAATCGGTGTGACAGATGGCGTTATGTATACCCATGCCTTAAAGGAGTACAGATCCAGAAGACTCACGGTTCATTTCCAAATTCTTCGTTTTTTTCTCCAGGGTTGGATCATTTGCAGCGCATGACTGTATTGCGTGGAAAGTACTTCTGAGGTTCTGTCTGGAGCCCGGATTGCTTCGCTTTGACAGGCTGGAATCCGAATGTTTCAAATCATGATAACTGAAATTTTACATGTCCCATCGATGTTACCAGGTCTTGCACAGTCGGAGAAAGCTCTCCATGTTGAAGCTCGTAGTGTTTAATTTTTTGAGATCTGGAGGGAGGCTGCTTGAATGTGCTGGTGCATGGTATTTGGATTGATTTTTCCCTTTCTTCCTTTTTTTACGCTTGAAGATCTCAGGATGGTTTTGGTGAGGTGTCCACACATCTGAGGATGCTGAGAAAATCCACCAGTAAAAATTACCCCTGGCTTGACTTCCCCGCTTCACCCGTATTGGATCGGTGCCCGTGGGGCGGTTGTTGCTGAAGGGGGCAAACCACATTAGGGATAGCGGTAAATTAGGCTTCGTAACTGGCAATTGACTGTCTCTGATTGAAGGGGACAGGGCAACTCTCATTTGGGACCTCAGCCAGCCTTGAATCTCAACGGGTTTGTAGACCCGTAAGGTGGCGGGTTGGGGAGGTGAGAGGTGGATCAAGAACAACTAATAGCTAGCCAATGATAAATGCAATACAACTTCCAACTGCCATAAATTCGAAGGTGTGTACGGAGTTTGAACCAGGATTACGACAAAAACTGACAGAATTGGAGTGGCACCCTTTTATTTTTTTTGGTTCCGTTTCCAAATTGGGACGGAAAATCCAAGAAACGGTAGAACGCGGCGGATCGCGGATTTTTGGTTTGGTCAATTTTCCCGTCTTGCAGATGCATGACACGCATCTAACGCAGGAACGGGACTCTGTTGGATGCCCTGTTCACAGGAGTCGCTATGTGGAAAGAATTGGCGAGTCGCAGAAAAGACAACAGATGAAGAAGATCTTCGGAGCTGTCATACATAGCTATCTTGGTGTCGTCGAGCTGTCAACTGAAGATTGTTTTGGAGAAATTTTTTGGGAAAGCTCTTTTGGTGGCCTTTCAAGGCTTCTTTACGATCATGAGTTCTATGGTGCGTCTCTTGTTCAGGGTCGATATACGAACAGGAATTGAACCTGATTGAGAGCCTGGAAGGTCCAGTGAAAAAGGACCCCAAAGTTGATCTTGGAAGTTTCGGGTAAGATACAGCTCGCGACCTCCTGGGACCCAGACCCAGTAGTAGTAAAAGAGGAGGTAAAAGAAAAGAGAAAAAGCTGTCGTTGACGTCAATTGATACTCTCTCTCGGCTCAAACCCATTTGTCCTCGTGCTAGCACTCTTCTGTCGCCTCTGGTCCTTTTGACTCCTTGATACCTAGCTAAGGTTGGACCGTTGGTTGTAAGAGAATCAGAGCTTTGGCATGACGAATACCGCGTCAACTTTCAAATCTCTGATGCCCAAAAGCTCCCAGTCTATTAGTTACCCCGTATAGGACATGGTACGGTGGATTATCATGCGCAGCCTAAGCTCCCGGGAAATAGGGGCAGCCAGAACCTAGAGGGTCACATGAACTTTTGGGTTTGCTGGGCAGCAGCCTCTTGGAAGTTGGAACCGGGAAGCGCTTTCACTCAAACTGGAGAGTCTTATAGATCAAGTAATTTTGGCCTTTCTCATGAGCCGCCGATCTAAACATTGCGTGGGGGACTAAGCCAGACAGACTATGTCCAAAGACAAGGAACGTTTCCCGTGTGCAGGATATGTGCCTGCGCATCTCCGTCTCAAGATGGGCGGATACTTCAGAGCCAATAGCATCCTTGAACTCAGATATCTGCATTCGATCTGGGCAAAAAAGCGTGCAGGATGTTTCCGACAAACCTGGCTCCCACGATTCGAGATTCAGTAGCGGCTTTCATCGCAGGGGACCATGCTGGACAACCATCAGACCTATCAGATGACCCTGAAACAGGTGAGATATATTCATCCATAGATTCCTTATCTACTCTGTATCCACACACGGAAGCAGAACAGTCTCTTAACAGGGTTCTTTGCAAGCAGCGCTCGGCCGTAGAGTGTACCTGGGCAGCTAGCTAGTTGACTCGTGTGGGGCATAGTGCTAGTCTTTGAGAAGCTAGCCCGGGCTACCTTCAACCACGGTGAACCAGCTGCTCCTCCGTCCTGTAACAGTCCAACCTTCAAGTCACAGGTAACAGGAGCGCATGGAGCCCCATTGATCGACAGGCTGGAGACTTTCTGCGTGCGTGGAGGCTGCTGTAATTTATCTGTCGACGTTTTACCGCCATCACATTCCACAAACACCTGCATCCATCCAGCCATACAGTCCTAAACAGTACCTATCCGACGGGTTACAGCCGCATTACCTATGTGCCCTGGTCAGTTGACCTGGCTGGTACCCTCCCTATCTGCCACTGTTGCACACAAGCATTTGTGACCCAGGAGTACCCTGTCACACCGAGGAATGTCCCTTCTCGTGCACTGTTACATACGGTCTGATCGCATACATAGCCCATACAGATGGGCCCATGCCAATCAAGAACCGTTACTGTCCAGCCGGCTGCCAATAACACATTAACTATGCGGACCTTGTACCGTACTGGTACCGTACTGTACCGTACTGGGCCTTACCCTCTCCGCCTTTATTTACTTTCAACGTCGAACGTCGTCGTCTTCTTCCTTTCTTCATCTAATCCCACTCATTTCATCTCTCTTATTCTCATGTCCTCTCATTCTTTCATTTCTCATTCTCTTGCCCACGCTCATTAGTTTTTATTTCTGTTTTTCTTCGTCTCTCTGTCTATCCCTAATTCATTGCTTTTAACATTTTTTCATTGTCACTCATTTACTGCTTTAATCTAGTCCCACTGCATGTCACGACCATCGTAGCCCTACGTCTCACATCCAACCTCTTGTCACTCCTTTGTATCAGCAATATATTTCCTGTCCACCGCACCACTACAGCCCTCCATCACGGCATATTCTCTATACCACCCACCTCCCCATCAACATTCCCCGCTCCTCCGATGAGATAGGCCTCCTTCCACGGCTTCCTGCAGTGCAGCAATCCGATCCTCTGTCATCTATTAGCTGCGGTCACATCGAATCTCTGTTTCTACATTCACCCATTGAGCATCATGAGCTACCTCTCACACCCTTTTCCTCTCGGAGGGCCTCCAGCAATTCCCGTCGAACAAACCGTTGGCTTTGAAGTCCTAATCGGGCACCCTCATTTGGGCCATTATGTGAATTCTTTTATACTTTCTCATGACCCATTTGACATAGTGGAATATTGTCCCTCCAAGCCTGCCAGTATTGAAGAATATGAGTACACAGAGAACCTATCACGTCCTCGACTGACAAAGGAACAAGTTGATACGCTCGAGGCCCAGTTTCAGACCCATCCGAAACCGAATAGCAACGTCAAGCGTCAATTAGCCACTCAAACAAATCTCACTCTGCCTAGAGTTGCTGTATGGAACTATATATAACCCCATTTCTTTCCGTTTCCTTGGTTGTGGCGAACTGTAAGGTTGACTAACTATGTATGATTGTAGAATTGGTTTCAAAACCGACGTGCGAAGGCAAAGCAACAGAGAAGGCAAGAAGAATTTGAGAGAACACAAGCAAGTGAGAACGGTGAACAGGGGGAAAGTAACGAGACCTCTCGGCAAGAAGGGGGCTTAGAAGCACAACCAGAACGTCCTGAATTGACTTCAACCCCTACCCAGGACCCACTTCCCAGCTCGTCATCTGCAAGTCCCTCTAGCACACCACACACTTCTACGACTCAGTCTGAATGCGCCGTGTCACTCGAGAAAGCAATGAACGAAAATATGTCTGCAAGTGCCCAATTCAACCAATCCGAGCATAACGCCGGTGCAAACAAATCCTTAGAATCGATGTATCATTCTTCTCAGCCTCGTTTGAAGAATGAAGCTGTTGGCGCAGCCACCTCTGGCATCCCTGAATGGAATGGACACGAAGACAATTGCAATTCTTTTTTTTTGGCTTCACCGCAAAGTGCGGGAAACAGCTTTGATTTTACTCATGTGAATAGGCAGCAATTAACCCCAAATGACAACCCCTTCGAGATCCGCATTCACGAAAGTCCCCAGTTCCCCGCCTTCCATTTCAATCACGAGCCCGATGGATGGGAATGTCACAGCGTGCCGAACTTGATGGGAAGGCAGCATGATGCTCAAGATCTAGGCGATGATTTTCAACCCTTTCCGTTTCATGGGCTTCAATCTCCGCTATTTCCTGGTGAACAACGACGAGGGTCTTATTCTTCAGAGCATTCCGACCTCACAGATATTCCGTTCCACCCTGAAATAAATAACGATCTTGAAGTATCTCCCGAAAACAGTTCTCAGCTGAGCCTGGCCCAGTTGCACCACCACCAAGTTGAACCTTGCGCCAATTGGCGGTATCCGGAGAAAGAAGTTGATCTTGCTGCTCGACGAAAACGACCTCGACCGGCCGCTATCGGTACCTCCGCCATATCCCGTTTATATGTACCTTCCTCAATGTCTTCCACCGCCATGATTCAGGGTATGGGCGCTGGGCATGTACTTCGACATGCAAAATCCACCCAGAACCTTAGCTCCAGTCGCAATTCTCGCTATCCAGGGATTCGAAAAACTGCCGCTGCCCGCCGCTCCCCTCTTGGTATAACAAGTTTTTCGGAAGCTAACCGTTTCAACCCGACGAATGCGACGGATATGATGTCAGCAGTACCCGGCCTGGTAACAACCACTTTGGCTCCGCCTACTCCGTTAACGCCGGAAGACTTCCAAACCCTTCTTCCGCCAACCCCAAATGACAATCAATACTGCGTTTCGCCAACGGACGAGATGGGTTGCACAAGGCTCTTTCCCATGTCTCAACCCATGCAGGTACATCTCGAATCCCCTCCTGCCACACCACTAAGTTTAAGTGTCCTCTCGCAGTTACAATATCAGCAGATGGGTATTTCAACGCCTGCTGCGGCTCCTCAATCTACAACTTTCCAGGAGTACACTCTCTCTGTTCCAACCAATCCGATGAGCACTAGCCTTTGGCATGGCGCTACTTCGATGTCGTCCCCGGAGACCTTCCAAATGCAGCCGCCAACAATCCATATGCCCCAGCCAACCCACATTTCTCCCATTGCCTATGGAGAGTCTTTGGATTCGGGAAACCCTTCCTTCGTCGAGGGTATGGCAAGCCAAAGTGCATCGCCGCAATGCACTATTAAAAGCTGCAGTACCCCACCATCATGTTCCGAGGGGTCTATCTCTGGTCCCCTTAAAGTAACCGAATTTCTCATTCAGGAGTTCCCACAACAGCAGGAAGCACATAGGCGCGCGGCACAGCAGCTCCCCCCACAGCGGCCCATGAACTATACATTCTCCAACCACACACCAAATGACTTCTACGCTTGATTCCTCTCTAGAAGTTAGCTTCGCTATCAAAGTTCAAGGAATGGACAGCTCTCTCTATTTCCCCCAATCCCCCTTCCCACATGCCAAACGTTGGTTTGGTCAGCGCTTTACGATTTCCATTACGCATGCCATATATAATTCTAATAGCTTTTGCCTCAACTCTCTTTAGCCTCATATTGCTTAGTTCTAAATCTGTTGTTAGCTCATTTTTTTTTTAAATATATCTTAACTATACCCAACTTTAGCTGATTTGAAACGGTTTTTTTTTTTTTAAGAGAGGGAGACCTTTTGCCTCAATATACTTTTCTTCTTTCATCTTGTCACCTTGCCATGCTTTTCCTTCCTCCATTTTATCATGCACATATATTTTTATATACGCCATTTAACTTCTTTTTCCCCTCCGTTGTCCCAGCGGAGCCTCTCGATCTCGTTACTTCCCCCCCGAAGAACTAAACCTGGTCATGGTGCCATCATGGCCACCTACCGTTTATTCCCCGAAAGTGTTTCACCTTACTCTTCATCTTCCTGAAGCCTTGTCTCAGATTCTAAGTTTTATCCCCTTTTAATTCCCTGCATTTATTTCCTTTTTCGCCCGCACTATTTCTAATTGCTCTTTTCTGCTGTTTCCTATTTCCTCCTTAAAAACCATTTTACGTTATTTTAATTTTTTGCATGTTTTCAGCTTTTCTCCGATATTTATCTCCTGCTATGTGATAATTACACTTCCAAGCTTATACAAGCTTAAAATAAGCCTAATATAATTAGTTAGTTATTAACTATTCTTAATTTATTGATAAGGTTTCACCTCAACGATATGTTTTGATTTACAGTTTCATATACTGATAAGTATTAGAACTAAGTATGTTTATGTATGCGATCTTGAAGTGGATTTCTTCTTTCAGTTGTCTTGTGGCTCCCCGTATCAGCGAGCGCTGAATCATATCGAGCTCTTCGGACCGGAGAAAGCTTCTGCCGGATGAGAACAAAGACTTTTACGGACTGGATATATCTCATTGGAAAAAGATAAGTATGCATGCTCTATGTATGGTCGACCTCATTTCAAAATGCACTTATCAATACCTGTTCACTTTGCTGGGGGAAAAAAAAATACAGTAAATATTTCAAACAAATGCTAATATAAATAAGAATATGTGTGAAATGTTAAAAAAACCTTTCATTAAGAAAAACATTCAAGACAATCCAATTATTTCATATTGTTGAGTAAAGCAGTAGAGCAGGTATCCGGTAATGATACTGTTATAAGTTATAAGAAGAAACAAGAAGAAAGGAGGGAAATGTATATATCCAAAAGAAAAGGAAAACAGAACAGATCATATACCAAGCACACACACAAAAAAAAAAAAAAGAAAAAGAAAAAGAAAAAGAAAATTAAAGTAATATACTAATACCAGTAGATATTCATCAAGGAAGCAAAGAGGGGAGAAAAAAGAGAAATGGTAGCAATTTCAATCGTAACTTAGCAATGTAGGCCACAAAGATATAGCGTTCACATGTAGAGTTAGAAGGAAACAACTTATACATTTTTTATGTAGAAAGAAAAGCCAACTTCATGAGCCAAAAGGGGAAAAGTTTTAATAGCACGTAAAGGGCCCCAAGGAGGGGTTTCCAATCAACAGAAGGTGATTAGAGATAAAAGGGGAGAAAATATGTTTTGTAAAAGGAATAAGAAGAGGGGATGTTGAGTAAAATAACAGTATTAAAGTGGAAGTGTTACATGTTTCGTAGGAAAGATAATAAAAGGCGGGCATGGCAAATTGGTTTAACAAACAGTACATGAACAAGGAATCGGAACAGGAACAAAAAAAAGCTAGGTTACATGATGATATCTATACTCGGTAGCATTTTATCACGTAAGAGGTATCATTTTCAAACCCCAAGGAGAATTTTGGGAAATAAACGTTCTGAGGTGAGAAACGGGTATTATGAAAAGGTGTAAATAAAAAATAAGCCGCGGACTAGGTAAGAAAGGCAAAACGCAAAAAGAAGGGGGGGGGGGGAGGGAAGTTAAATAAATAGACAAGAAGAATACAGAAGAAACCAGCCGCAATATATAAAAATGGAAGAAACGAGCAAGTAATCACGCGACCAACTGAGGATTCCAAATTCATTTCAAAACCAAACATCAACTCCACCTTACGAACCCCTTCACAATTCCCTTCTTAATACGTCGACGGCCATCCACTGGGCGGTTGCCCCGGCTGCTGCTGGCCACCAGGCTGCAACGGCCCTCCCGCCGTCGTACTAGGCCATCCCGGCAACGGTGCGCTGGTCCCCATGCCCATCCCCAGCACTGACGGTTGCTGGTGGGGGGCGGACATAAACTGCTGCGAGCCAGCGGGGCCTTGAGACGACGGGTACATGGTGCGCGCGGCTGCCATGCTAGAATATGCTTGTGCCGTCGAGACGCCCGGGTAGCCCATGGCTGCAAGGTTTTGTTGTTGTTGCTGTTGCTGTTGCTGTTGCTGTTGTTGTTGTTGTTGCTGTTGTTGTTGTTGTTGTTGTTGTTGTTGCTGCTGCTGTTGTTGTTGGGATGGTGGTTGAGGCTGTGAGTGGAGCTGCGAGGGTGTAGGGCGATGCTGGTGGCGCGGAGACTGGGAAGGGTGGCGGGGTTGGGTGTTCTGTAGGTGGGGTGAGGGAGATTGTTGCTGTTGCTGTTGCGGATGAATTTGTGGGGTGTACTGTGGTATGCTGAGTGTATGGGAGGTGGAGAGGGGAGATGGTTGTAGCTGTGGCGGTGGTTGACCCCACAGCTGTTGACCCTGGGAGTACGAGTATGGCGAACCCTGACTTGAGCTGGCAGAGGTGAGGGAGATGGTGGACGAGCGATGCTGGAGCTGATCAGGGCGCATTCCTTGAGGCATTCCGCGCAGCGGGGATTGAGATATGGGAGTTTGCTGATAAGCGGGCTGGGAATAGGATTGTTGGGGAGTCATCATTTGCGGATGAGCCAGGACGTTCGGGTGCTGATTGGGAGCAAGCATACTTGATGTTAATTGCGGTGATTGTAGTGGTTGAGGAACACCTGGGGTTGGGTCTACCTGAGTGGCTGGTGATTGACTGGAGACAGGGGTGTCTCGTTGTTTATTCCAGTGTTCATCCAAGCCTTTCGCACGATAACCTCGTTGCTGATTTAAAATTTTGCTGAAATCAGCTGTATGCGAAGCATGGTTCATTATTTCTGCACTACTGCTAGGTTGAGTACGGTCGTGGAATGGCTGCCCAGTAGGTTCTTGTCTCGGTCGAGGTATGCTATTAAACTCTCTCATCCGTGGATCATCTGCTGGCGCCAAGTGTATCATGGGAAGCGGTGTCAAATTCGCCGGATGCGGAGGCATGTCGGGTGGCATGCCGTCGATATGAGGGCCGTTGCTGTATATGATATCGCTCTGACCCAAGTTTGGTATCAGTCCAGCATTAGCAGCTTCCGCCGCCGCCGCCGCCGCCGCCGCCGCCGCATCTCTAGCCTTGGCCGCTCCAGGTCGTTTCTCACCCGCCATATCTTCCTCAGTGAAGCCCTGCTTTCGCGCCTTGCTTTCCCAGTAGTCGTCCCGAACACGTCGTCCATCAACAATCACTCTGCTCCCAAACTGACGGAACATGGACCTCGCCGTTACAATCGCGATCTGTCGAGAGCGATAGGAGTAGGGCAAAATGTCCTGCTGGATCAAGGAATCCTTCTCCGCTTGACTCGCAATAATTTTGTAGAGTGATCTGTTTTTGTTAAATAGAAGATAAGAATCTCGATATCCTAGCACTCTAGCACATTCTGTGGCCAACATGAATAGTTTCTTTCCGCGGTTTGGTACACAAAATGTCCTGCACTTGTATTTGCGCTTGTCCTGTGGGTATCCCAGCGCGTCGACCTTCTTCTCACCACTCTCATCAAACTCCTTCGGTATGTATTCATCACACTCCTCCCCTAGCTGGTCAGTGGTGTGATCTCTAACTGTGGGAAGCGCCTTAATGAGTGACTTTGTGGGTGTAGTTTTGGGGGTTGGGGATGTCTGTGGGGCGACCGTAGTATGTTGTAGAATAGGTTGAGGAGGGAGAATGGAACTATGTGACTGGGAAGGGGATTGTTTGGGTCTCTGCGACGGTGGAAGAGCAACGAGATTTGTGGCTGACGCGACCTTTGGCGTCTTAGGTGGGCGCCCTCGCTTGCGACGACCATGATCATCTGGCACTGCACAAATTAGGTATGAAAAAAATCAAGTTGTGTGGCATGACAGCATGCGAGAAAAGAAGAAGATAGCATACCATCCTCCATTTCACCTTCCGCAGGCTGATTGCTATACTGCTCTGTCGATCTGCTTCGTTTTGTCCCTCTTGGGCTTGTGCTGGGGTTGATATTGGCACTGGCTGTGGTGGAGGGGATGGAAGGCGGAGCAAGAGAAGACTGTGGAAGGGTGACTGCCAGTGAAGGTTAGTATCATATTGAAAATGGGCCTGCGACCGCAGTGATCATGATATCAGATAAAGAGTCAAATGAATAAGGAAACGACATCCCCAACGCCACAGGATATCCGCGACGAGGCGAAGAACAGAGAGGCAGGGAGCGAAAGGAGTGAAAATTGCGACAACGATGGAAGGG